AGGTTTGAGTGTTTATTTTTCTTTCTCCAGATTTAATGGCAGGAAAATCCTCTGTATCAGATGAGGATTAACAAGAGATGAAAAAAATGTGTCTGCCTTTCGAATCACTAAAGCCAGCAACAGATTTTGCTGACATACCAATCGGCTTTATTCCCAGGCCTTGGCCATCCCGGCCCTCCTGCCCTCTCCATCTGCCTGGCCCCTTTCTCTCCTTCAACCCTCCCCAGACCCTGCCCCAAGCAATAGGCAACCAGAAATTGGCTTCCTGCCAAGCAAATAGCATTATCAGCATTTTCAACAAGGATTCGTTATGTAACTTGGAGAGTTGGAGAAGGGACAGGACAACTTAAAATGATGATGTTTCCCCGAAATGCTGCCTGCTGACTTCCTTTCTTGGGAGTGGCTGATGATAGATGGTTCGAAAACAGCCTGTGGAGGGGGCCCTTCCTCTAACAATAAGGCTAGAGGCCAGCTTTGGGGGGGAGGGGTGATGGCCGTGGCCTAAGACAGCAGGTCCCGGGACCATTTATAGAATCTGACTGAGGTTTCTCAGACCCACCAGGACTCAGGGTAGGCCCGTGCTACTCAGAGCATGGCCTGTGGACCAGCGCTACTGGGGAGCTAGGGAGGAAGAGTCAGCACTCCCACCTCCACCCCAGATCTCTCAAATCAGCATCTGCATTTTAACAAGATGAGGGGGACGGAGCTGGCCCCTTAGCATAGTGGTTAGGCACTGTGCATTGGGAGCTGGATCCCACACGGCCCACCATGGTTGGAATTCTGGTCCAAGTGGCTTGGGCATATGTGTGTGCATGCCTCCTGGGCCCTCAAGGATTGGAGAGGTAGAAAAAGGGGGATGTCTGTGTGGCTGGGCTCTGTTTTGGGGTGCCTTTTTTCCACACACTGGTGAGCGTATATACCCTCTGGCAATAAAAACAAAATGAAACAGGATAGAGGAGAGATCTTTCTGCCCATTTCAGTTTAGAAAGCCCTGGTTTAGAGAATAGTGGAGAGGGTCCGATCAAGGTGAGAGCCAAAGGAGGGCATGTATCTCTGCCCCCTCATTCATCTGGCCCCAGCAGACCCCCCAGGCCTGGGTGTAGAGCAAGCTCTCTGTTCTCTAATGGGACCGACTCCCAGGTATCCATGGCAACCAGCCAAGTTCTGGCACACTGGACTTGACGTGCCTGCTGATGGGAGGGAGTGGCATTCCTTCCTACGACAGGGGCTCTAGGTGTGCATCTAGACATCTGCGGTCACTGTGCCCTAGGGAATTTTTGCTTTCTCCCACTTAGGCCTTGTAAGTGAAAATGTGGCTTAACTTGTCTACCCTCTGCCGGGCAGGGAACAGTACCGGGGATGTGGGGGTAGGGAGCCCCCTCTCCCACAGTGAAGCCCTACCCCTGGGGTGGGCTCACCCCGCTTAGATGGGAGTGGTGGGCAGCACTCTCTGTGACGACCTTGTACCCTTCACTCCAAACCTTGGCCCAGTGAAGCCTCCACTGCCCCAGCAGCAGGCCAGACACGGAAGCAATGCCATGCAAGGGGCTTCAGAGAGTTCGTGCAAAATTAAATTGAAAAATACATGCTTATGGTGACCAGCAGTTAGCGTAATGGCTATGTCGCTGGACTCCCATGTAGTCGACCACAGTTTGCGTCCCGGACCCGGTGGCTTAAAAAAAAACACGCCGGGCGCGTGTGCGTGCGTGCCCAAGATCCTGAGAGGAGAATGGAGGAGAAAGGATTGCGGTGTGGCCATCCCCCCTGGGGGGTGAGTTCTCGCTTTCTGTCTCTCTGTCTCTCTCTGTCTGTCTGGCGAGCACACGCACCCTATAGCAAAAACCTCTCTCTCAAAAAAAAAAAAAAAAATACACGCTTATGGACTGACTCTGTGGTGCAGCACTAATGCTCTGCTCAAGAAAAGTCAGATCCCAAATGACAGTGCAGTTCAAATCCCTAGCCTGGTCAGCCTGAAATACACCAGGCATGTGTGTAAGTGTCCAGGATCTGATAGGGCTGGAGGACCAGAGGAAAGGGGTCACAATGTGACCAGACCCTGCAGAGGGTGCTCCTCTGTCTCTCTCTCATGTGTGTACACACACTGTATAATGAATAAAGAAAGAAAATCTTAAATAAAAAAGGTAGAACTTTGGCCAGACCTCCTCCACCGAGAATCACCCCGGTTTCCTGGTTCAACAGTGCTTGAACAGAACTGGTGCTCATCCCCCATCCTGGCCCGCCACCCAGAGCCAGTCCTCCACCATCTCCTCACAGTGCGCTCGGACTGCTCCAAGGTCCCCACTGGTGCTCCAGCACCACACAGCAGACATTGCCACCGCCTCTCCTCAGCTGCCCGCCATGATGACCCGGTCTCCCTTGCAGATGTGCCAGAACTACCACCAGGACTCGGAGGCGGCCATCAACCACCAGGTCAACCTGGAGCTCTAGGCCTCCTACATGTACCTGTCCATGTCTTTCTACTTTGTGATGATGTGGCTTTGAAGAACTTTGCCAAATACTCTCTCCACCAATGTCATGAGGAAAGAGAACGTGCTGAGACACTGATGATGCAGCAGAATCAGTGAGGTGGCCGCATCTTCCTTCAGGATATCAAGAAACCAGACCATAGGGAACCAGCAGTTAGCATAATGGCTATGTCGCTGGACTCTCACGTGGTCGACCGCGGTTCGCGTCCCGGACCCGGTGGCTTAAAACTCACGCCGGGCGTGTGTGCGTGCATGTCCAAGATCCCGAGAGGAGAATGGAGGAGAAGGGATTGCGGCGTGACCATCCCCCCTGGGGGGTGATTTCTCACTTTCTGTCTCTCTGTCTCTCTCTGTCTTTCTGGTGAGTGCACATGCTCTATAGCAAAAACCTCTCAAAAAAAATATCACTTGTCTAATGTAGAGAAGAAACCAGACCGTGATGACTGGGAGAACGGGCTGAAGTGTGCATTACACTTGTTAAAAAAAAAATGTGAATCGGTCACTACTGGCACTGCACAAACTGGCCACTGACAAAAACGACCCCCATTGGTGTGACTTCGTTGAGACGCATTACCTCAATGAGCAAGTGCAGTTTATCAAAGGATTGGATGACCATGGAACTAACTCGCGCAAGACGGGAGCCCGGGAATCTGACATGGCAGAGTATCTCTTTGACAAGCACACCCTGGGAGACATGATAACGAGAGCTAAGCCTGAGGCTAACTTTCCCGGAGCCTCGGGGTGACTTCCCTGCTCACCAAGGCAGTGCATGTATGTTGCAATTTCTTTTATATTTCCTGGAAGTTGTGCCAAGATATCCACTTAAGTTCTTTCATTTGTACCATTCCTTCAAATAAAGAAATTTGGTACCTCCCTCCCAAAAAAAAAGTACAACTTTAGGGGCCAGCAGGTGGCATAGTGGTTAAAGTACTGGACTCCCACATGGTTGACTACAGTTGGAGTCCCAGACCCGGCAGCTTGAAACTCAGACTGGGTGCGTAGACATGCGTGCCCAAAATCCTGAGAGGAGAAGGGTTTCAGACATGGTCATCCACCCCAGGGGGATGATTTTTCACTTTCTCTCTCTCCATCTGTCTGGTGAGTACACGTGCCCTATAGCAAAAAAAAAAAAAAAAAAAAAAAAAAAAAAAAAAAAAAAAAAAAAAAAACACCTCTCCCCAAAAATGTGCTTTATTTTGGTGCAAAAATATTTTGAAATCCATGCCTAGTTTTTCATAATATGCATTTTTACAAGCTTTTAGAAGATCCCTCACGTGAACCAGCTTGTCCGCACTGATAACTTTTATCTGTACCTTACTGGGCCCACCTCACCTTCACC